GGCCGTAGGTTAACCTGGACTTCTGGGTGAGCCTGGGATAGCTCTTAAGTGGTATTAAAGAAATTAGATTTGGGAGTTGGGGATATGTCTCAGTTGGTAGAGTGCCTAACTGAGATGCATGACTTCCTGGCTTTAATCTCCAGCACCGTTAAAGCTAATGGCAGCATATATTGCAATCTCAGTACTCAGCATGTGGAGGCAGGAGGATGACGGGTTTCAGGTGATCCTTGGCTACACAGTTCAAGGTTAGTCTAGACTAAATGAAGCACCGTCTCAACAAAAATACAACAACAAAACAAAAGAAACCAGGGCTCGTCTTATTCTTGAGAAAGTTTTCCTCTCAGGTTGCCATTCCGCGATGTCACTGGTTGGGTGGAGGAGGCGACTAGGAATCCTGGGATTCTTGGCGAACAGCGCCATCTAGCGATAACGACACATTTAGTTTCAGGTTGATGGAGTGGTCCTGGTGAGACCAGATTGAATAAGAACCCATGACTGATCCCAAAGTCCGGCAAAAAGAGATCTCAAGACTCCTTCTTGCTCTTCTAAAATCTCTTTCCCGTTTGTCGGTGGGAAACAGGATCACTTCTCCTAGGACGAGAAGTTTGGAAGATGTCTGCGCAGTCATGCAGTCGGCTTTTATTAAGTGTTCTTTATACACCAGCCATTGTTCCGGGTCCTAGGGATAGGTGCTGTCTTAGATGCTGGTCATCACTAAGAAGACAAAGCAGGGGAAGGGTGTTGGGGATTGTTAGGAACAGGGTCGGGTAGAAGGGAGTGAGGAGGCTTGGCTGGAAAGTTGCATTTGATCCTGATGGGGAAGAGGATGCAGCAAATGCAGTTATGGGAGGCATCTGGGGTCTAAGTGCTCACAGGAGAGAAAAGGGACTTGGTGTCTGGGGTGGGGAGGGGAGGGGTGGAAAGGTAAGAAAAGAGATTGGGTAGCTCTTGGGTGATGATGAGGGTTTGGTGGGGGATGAGAAACCTCTGATGTTTTCACTTGTTTTATTGTTTGTTATGTTTTAATCTTTGAGACAGGGTTTCAGACTGGCCTTGAACTTGCTATGTAGCTTAGGATGTCCTTGACTTCTGATGGTCCAGCTTACCACCTCCCCAGTGTTGGGACCACAGGTGCGCATTCGCTGAATGCTGGTATATGAGATACTGGGGCTCGAACCCAGGACTTTGTGCGTGCCAGGCAAGCACTCTACCACCTGAGCTACACCCAGCCCTTTCATTTTGAAAAGAAACCGAAGGAATCTAGGGAAAGTCACAATTCGCTTCAGCCCTTTGAAAGCTTCAGAGAGTCCTGTATTACATAAACTATTTAACATTAAGTTTTTGGTCTATTATATTATTATAGGTGTGTGTGTGTGTGTGCGTGTGTGTGTGTGTGTGTGTGTGTGTGGTGTGTGCATTCGCACCACGGCACACATGTGGAGGTCAGACAACAACTTGGAAGAGACAGTTCTCTCCTTCCTCCCGTGGGAGTCCCAGGATTGAAGTCTGTGGCCAGCCTTGGTGGCATGTCCCTTTACCTACCTAGCCGTCTCTCCGGCCCTATTATTTAACATTGTTTAAAAGCACTTCCCAGGCTTATTAAAAGACAGATTGGTTTTTTTTTTCTTTTCTTTTGTTTTGTTTGTTTCTTCATTTTGTTTTACCGCCCCCCTTCCCCCAAGGAAAACTGTTCAACTTCACATGAGATCGGAGAAGTGAAAACCCCTGGCAAACTGACGGTAGTGACCTTGACAGTCACCTGCAAGGCCAGCAAGAGTGCGCGCAGCTGGCCAGGGCGGCAGTTAACCCAAGGCTGAGCTGCAGCTGTGCAGTGACGTCGCGTGAATCACTCCTTTGTATCAATGCCCCTCCCAGACCCAAGTTTCTCCCCCTTCCTGATTCTGAGACTCCAACTTTTAAACCACCTGCTTCTGGATGCATTCTGTCCTGACCTGATTCCAGTTCTCTCCACCCTTCGCAGCTGGAATCATTTAACATGAACCTGGCAATGAGCACCCTTTCCACAGTCTCTTACTGTGATGCCCCAAGATGCCCTGGGGGTCCTTTTGCGGGGCAGCGGCGGCAGCGGCGGCAGCGGGGGGTGGGGGGGATGTGTTTTATAGATGTAATTTAATAAAGTCAGCAGAGCCCAGTATCCCGCACACCAAAGCGTAAGAAAAACTGGATGAAATAATTCCTCCTTGCTATAAAAATCTTGTGACTTAGTTGCAATGCTACTTCCCACTTAAAAAGTTTTGTGTGCCAGCTAGAAAATTATATTAGGAACAAAAAGAGTGAAGACTTTATTGGCAGACATTTTAAGATTTTAAAGTATGGGCTGTTTTTATGAGTAGCTCCATGCCTGTCTTGTCCCTTACCAACTTGCAGTTTTCTCTTATCTCTTGACTCTGGGCCAAGAACTAATCAAAGCCCCGCCCCCCACCCCTGAAGCCAGGACTTTTCCTGGATCAGAGGGAGATCAAATCTGTATCGGCGTAAATAAATGTAATGCAGATACTAAGGAATATTCACACTTTAATCATAAACTTACAGAACGGAAGTTCCCGCGTGGCACAGGAGGTAGGAAGGAAAAAGGGGCTGTGCCGCCTCTCCGTGCGCCCATTTATTGGCAGGCATTCGCCCGAGGCAAATCCCGCCCCCTAAAGGGGCTGTCTTAACCCTACACAAATCGGCTCTGGCGGCAGAAGGAAAGGATGGCAGAGAAAGCGAGGAGGGAGCTTGATGCACCAGACTGGGTGGGAGACCTCAGCTCATCCTTAGGACACACCTCGACTGAGCCAGCACAGAGTGGGTCCTCGCTGGCTTCTCCATGGCAGTGGGGTTCCCCAACTATCACTGACCCTTGCCCCTGCCATTCGTAGGCCGTTCCCCTTAATAGCCTTTCCCAGTGGTTATTGGAAGGAAGTTCCTGCAAATGGCTTATGCGTGCAGGGCCTCTGTTGAGGCTACTTCCACAGTAATTGCAGAAGTCGGCAGAGACTGTGCGGCAGGGCCTTGTTACTGCCACCTGCTGGTGTCCCCTGTGACAACACTAGAGATTTCTTTCCTGGATAGTCTCGCTTTTATTGAAGCAATTGCATATGTTTTCTTCTAGCTTATGTTAACATAGTGGAATCACATCGAATGATTTTTTTTTTAAACCGAGGTGAAGTTTGCATTAAGTTATCTGTTTACATGAAGAGCCTTCTGGCGTTTTGTGCACTTCCAGTTCCTAAACACATTCCTCAAAAGAGCTGGGAAAGTTGTAGTTCACTGGTAGAGCGCTTGCCTAACATGCACAGGCCCTGGGTTCAAGTCCCACATGGAGAAGCAAACAAAAAATCATATCCCTCAGAAGAAAATCCAGGGCTAGTGAGGTGGCTCAGCAGGTGGTGAGCACTTGCCACCAAGCCTAAGGACTCACCCGAGTTTCATTTCTGAGACCCACACAGTGGAAGGAGGGAACCAGCTCCTGCAAATTGTCCTTTGACCTCCACATGGATGCACGGCACATGCACATCCCTGCCTTATCATGTACAAAAGTAATTATCAAATGTTCGAGAAAAGGAAGAAGGCCCATAACCATTAAGCCTCAGTTCCCAGCCTTCCTCCCCAGCCCCCGAAAGCCACAGAGGATTTCTGCTTTGACTTATGGTTTACCTATTCTAGATTTTAAAAAGTTCTTTAAATTAAACAACCATATGTGTTTGTGTGTGCGTTTGGTTTTCTGAGACAGGGTTTTTCTGTAGCTTTGAAGCCTATCCTGGAACTAGCTCTTGTAGACCAGGCTGGCCTTGAACTCACAGAGATCCGCCTGCCTCTGCCTCCCGAGTGCTGGGATTAAAGGTGTGCGCCACCACCGCCCGGTGGTCCAATCTTTCCATTGTGCATGTGTGTGCACATGTGCATAGATGCATGCTTGCATGTGTGTGTGTTCATGTGTGTGTGTGTGTGCGTGCGTGTGGAGGCCAGAAGCTAACATCAGATGTCTTCCTCAATTACTTCTACACCTTATTTTTTCAAAAGATTAACCTCAGTTATTTAAAATTAAAATTATGTGTGTGTGATGTGGGTTTGTGTAGACAAGTTCAGGTGCCTGGAGTCCAGAAGAGGGCATCAGATCTCCTAGAGCTAGAGTTACAGGAAGTTGTGAACGCCCAACATGGGTGCTAGGATTCCAGCTCAGGTCCTCTTCAAGAGCAGTACATGTTTTCAACCACTGAGCCACCTCTCCATCCCCACTACCATATTTTCCTAGGCAAGGTTTCTCATTGTACCTGGTGCTCACTGATTTGGCTAGACTGGCTGGCCAGTCAGTGCCTAGATCCTCCTTTCTCTGCCTTTCCAGACCTGAGTTTATTATATTATTTTGTAATAATATAATTATTATTTATTATACAATAATAAATCGAGCCCTGAAGTGCTCATTTTAAAACTGTTTATTTTATTTTATTTATTTTATTTTTTTGGTTTTTCGAGACAGGGTTTCTCTGTGGTTTTGGAGCCTGTCCTAGAACTAGTTCTGTAGACCAGGCTGGTCTCGAACTCACAAAGATCCGCCTGCCTCTGCCTCCCAAGTGCTGGGATTAAAGGCATGCGCCACCACTGCCCGGGTTAAAATTGTTTTTTAGTTCATGCGTATTGGGCATCTGAACTGAGGTCCTCATGTTTGTCAGTTGAGCTGCTTCCTCAGGCTCTGTTCCTTCCATTTTTAGCCTTTGTTCTCCTGCTAAAATGCTTCAGTGGGCCGCCAGATCTTCAGATCATCAAGGACATGATGCCATCTGCGTTTAGGCTCAGCCGGGGGCGGAGCACGGGGTCAGTCACACATCTGACACGGAAAGAACAACACTTCTGCACGCCGGAACCTTTCTTCTCTTTCCGCAGAACTGGAGTGACATCGGCAGCCAAGGCCGGGAGACAGCTGGTATCTGATTCTGGGGCTTAGGACAGATCAATGTTTAGGACCAGGAGACCGGGTCGTCATTGCGATCCGAGATGTAGGGCTTGAAACTGGAGGAGCAGGTGAGATGCAATGGAAAATGTGTCGGCTGGCAATGAACTGGAAAGAAATGTCCTGATTTGATTATAGTGTCCCTTTAATTATAGAAACACTATCAGGAGGGAGGCTGGCTTGGGAGTCGAGCTGCCTGCACCGGCTCTAAATCACACGTTACTGGTGAGTGAGGATCCTGTTATAAATGGAAACGTGAACTGGCAGATACTCCCTGGCTATAACCCAGAGCCTGGGTAATGTCAGTACCTATAATGTTTCCTTATCAAGTGTGTGCACGCACAAGGGATACAATGTTACTGGTACTCATTAAAAATGAGAGCACTCTCCTTGTGGCATAGCTACAGCCGGTACAGAAAGGACTTTTTGTTGTTTCCCTGAGGTCAGGGTTGCTTTTTGGTAGGCTTTTATATATATTTAATAATTAAATAATTATACATTTATGTATTAGCCCCAGAAACCGTTCAAGCGCTTTCAGGAAGCCATCAAGTAGACAAGCATGTCTCGAAAATCTTTCAAGGTGGCGCCTTCCCAGGCTCCAGCTCTTTGTACCTCACTTCTCCAGGTAGAGATGCAGCCTCCACCTGCAGATAACCCTGTGTGACCCCCTCTCTGGAATGCTCTCTGTGCCTGACTCCACACACACACACACACACACACACACACACACACACACACACACCTGCTGGCATTCCTGAGGGATCACTGGCTCCCAGGGCCTTACAGGAATCCAGCTGGGAGAACTGTCATTTGGAAAAGAGAGCCGTCACTGACTGTTTTGTTGGTAGGGTGTTCTTTCCTTCTGTCCTCCCCATTCACGCATAAGGTGCAGATTATTGGGTTTCTTTGAAGAGAAATACACAAGATAGCCCGTTTCCTTCCATCCCTAGTAACTGTTGTCGCATTACGTCTGTGCATTTACTTCAGAACTGACTACGACCTGAAATGTCTTGTATATGCATTCATATGATTACTGTCTTCTCCATCCAAAAGGCAAATTCGCCCAGGTTAGGTCTCCTGTGTGTTCTCCCTCTTCCTAGAGCAATGTCTGACTTCGTAGTAGTGCTTGTGAATCCCCCTCTGGCTGATCAACTTACAATAGAATCAATGTTTAAATGTCTTAAAAAACTTAGTTTGGGGGTCAGTGAGATGGCTCAGAGGATGGAAATACTGCCCAGGTAAGCATCCCCAGGACCCACGTGATGAAAGAAGGAACTGACTGATACAAGTCCTCTGACCTCCACACATTGTGTCATGACCCCCCCCCCCACACACAGAGTAAATGTTTAAAAATACCCTTAGTTTACGTTATAATGGCCTTTTATTCTCAAAAAATGTGTGTGTATGTGGTATTTGTGTGTATGCATGCATGTATATCCTTGTGTGTGAGCACACATGCATGTGAGTGGACGCAGATGCATGTGTATGTATGTCTGTGTATCTGGAAGCCCAAGGTTGGCATCACCAGGATTCTTCCTTGTTGTCCTCTATCTTATTCGCTGAGCCAGGGTCTTTCAAATGAACCCAGATCTGGCCCATAAAGCTAATCTAGCTTGCCAGCTTGCCCCAAGATTCCCTGCTCCATCCTTCCAAACACTGGAATTACAGGTAGGCTATTGTATCTATCCAACACCTATATGAGTTTTGGGGATTCAAATTCTTGTCCTCACTGGTTTTAACCACTGAGCCATCTTCCTAAACTCCAAGCATCTCCCCTGTGGTCATTTGAATGAGAATGGCCCTCACAGGCTCATATGTTTAAATGCTTGGTGCTCAGTTAGTGGAACTGTTTGGGAAGAATTCTGAGGTGGGGCCTTGTTGGAGTGGGTGTGGCCTTATTGGAAGAAGTGTGTCACTGGAGGTGGGCTTTGAGGTTTTAAAAGTCCCACACCGGGCTGGAGAGATGGCTCAGAGGTTAAGAGCACTGACTGTTCTTCCAGAGGTCCTGAGTTCAATTCCCAGCAACCACATGGTGGCTCACAACCATCTGTAATGAGATCTGGTGCCCTCTTCTGGCATGAAAGCATACATGGAAGGAATGTTGTATACATAATAAATTAATAAATAAATCTAAAAAAAAAAGTCCCACACCATGCCAGCCTCTATGTCTCTGTCTCTGTCTCTGTCTCTCTCTCTCTCTGACTGCTACCTGCAGATCAGGATGCAAAGCTCTCAGCTACTGCTTCATTGCCATGGCCATCTGCTTCCCACCACGGTGATTAAGGAAGTCCCTCGTTAAATACTTTGCTTTATAAGACTTGCCTTGGTCGTGGTATCTCTTCACAGCAATAGAACAATAACTAAGACACCTCCCTTTCCATCCATTTATTTATCTATTTATCTATCTATCTATCTATCTATCTATTTATTTATTTATTTAGTGTGTGTGCGTGAGCATGCCCTGTTTGTGTGCAAATACATGCTCACATGTGCTGTAGCATGTGTACGGAAGTCAGAGGACAGTTTTCGGGGGTCAATTCTGTCCGTCCACTCTGGGGATCCCAACGCTCAAACTCAGAACTCAGCACATCAGGTTTTGTGGCAGGTGCCTTTCCCCTCTGAGCCATTTCACTTCCCCTTTTTTGTCTCTCTTAAACAATTATCGTGTCTAAATTTAACTAGCCTAATTACCAAATGTCACTTAACTATATCAGTGCCTCCCAAACTTTTTCAGACCTTTGTTTACTCTGATATATTACGGAGAATCCCAGACAGAGAGTTCGTGTTTGTGTGATATCCCTCACTGTTCAGTCAAACAGACTGTAAAACTGACAAGGTCTAAACTATGTTTATCAACTCACTAAAATAGCAGCAAATGCATTGTGTGTTACTATTAATAGCGTAGTTGTTTCTGTTTCCAAAGTAGAGAAAAGAGAGGCATCGTTTAACAGTTTTGTTTATCTTTACAATTTTAAAATTACGTTGATTTTTTTATGGTGTGTGCACGCATGCATGCGCACATGAGTGCCCTGAGAAGTCAGAGGACAGTTTGGTCTGCAGTATTTCTTCCTTTCCATTCCATGTGGGCTCCAGGATGGAACTCAAGTCGTCCAGCACCACAGCAAATGCTTTTCCCCGCTGACCCTTGCATATCTATAAAGCGTGGCTTTATAGACACCAGCTGGGTTCTCACCTCTGTCTCTGCATTCAACAGGTGTGTGAGCATGAGCGCGACAGAGGCAAACAGCCCCTTGGCTTCCTTTGCTCAAGAAACCGTTTGAGTAACCCCAGAGAGCCTTGGAAAATACACTGAGAACAAACGACAGACGTCAGCAGAGAGGAATCCTTGTTTGCTCTTGAAATGATTGGTTATTTTTCTCTTCAGTGTACTGCTTAACACTAAAGTATGTTTGCATTCCTCAGGATGCTTAGTAAGCGAGGGAAAAAAATGAACCAAATGCCATGAATGTGCTGTGTTCACACAGAAACATCCACAAGCAAAGAAACCAACAGTGATAAATGGGTGCCTTTGGGTTGCTGAGATGCGTCAGTTGGTAAAGATGCTTAGTGCCAAGTGTACCAACTTGAGTTTGATTCCTGGGACCCTTATGGTGGAGACTGGCCTCTGCCCTCCACGTGTGTGTGTGTCACACCCACCCCACCCCCACAAACTGTCAACAAATAAATCAGTGTTTTTTTTTTTAAATATTTTATTTATTATGTATACAATATTCTGTCTGTGTGTATGTCTGCAGGCCAGAAGAGGGCACCAGATCTCATTACAGATGGTTGTGAGCCACCATGTGGTTGCTGGGAATTGAACTCAGGACCTTTGGAAGAGCAGGCAATGCTCTTAACCACTGAGCCATCTCTCCAACCTTCAATGTTGCTTTTTTAAAAGCGTCTTATTAATTCTGTGTTATGTGCTCTCTCTACTCTGACATTCCCTGCTCTGTACTTCCAGGTAGGCATTATCAGTCTCATTTCACAGATGACGCAGAGGCTCGGAAAACCTGAACAAGGGCTGGAGAGGTAGCTCAGTGGTTGAGAGCAGCCACTGCTCTTGCAGAGGACCCAGGAGTCTCAGAAATCACGTGGTGGCTTCTAGCCTCTTCTAATTCCAGTTCCGGGGGCCCGATGCCCTCTTCTGGTCACTGTGGGCACTGCAGTCACTGCACTTAACCTTCACACAGGCAAATTCTGATCTATAAAATAAAAATAAACTGTAAAAAAAACCCAACCGAATAATTTGTGCAGGACTACAAGGTCCAGAAGTGAGAGTGGTGACTGCCACACTCAAGTCTTCTTTGCTTAGAAATAATCTGTTCTCTCACTGTCAGACGTAAGGTTAGCATGGCCGTCAGAGAAGACACTCTGGGAAATAATGAGAAGTTCACTGTCCAAGTAATTCTTGTTGTCTTACTTAATGAGTGAAGAAGGGAAATAAATGTGATGTGGCGTGTAACTAAAGAAAGCCAATGTGTGTGTGTGTGCGCATGTGTGTATATACATACATACACACATGTGCGTGTTTATTTATTTATCTTGGGTTTTTGTTATAGTGATTGAAAACCTGATAAACACATTGGGAGAGGAGGTGCTAAGCAGGACAGGCACAGAGGCCTGATCACCAGCCCTTCACCCATAATAGAAGCTAGTGTGGTGGGGGTGTGGGCGACCCATGGAAACCCTCGGGTGATTATGGGCCCCTGGGAGAGTCAGGCTCTTGGAAGCGTGTGGCACACATCCTGAAGGGCATCAGACAAGAAAGGATGACAAAGACACTGCCCCCCTTTTATAATCTCTCTTTGGCTCTAAGTTAAAAAAAGATGGAGAGAGAGTGGGAGGGGAGGAGAAGTTCTCTCTTGCTCACTCAGTTCCGTTTTTATAGGGGGACCCACCTGCCTCGGGATATAGATATATATTGAAATATATATGTATATTGAAAATTATATATATGTATATACATGATACCAATACATTATAATATATAATATAATATATATTGATTATATATAATTTGAATTGAATATATATAATTTTTCAATATATATGTACACAACACACAAGTAATACACCTACAGCTAAAGATGGGAAGGTAGTTAAGTGGCCAACAGTCAGGAGCATGCTGGTCGCATTAATTTGGGGAGCACTGAGGTATAACTCTCCCTGTGCTGGTTAGTTTTTATTGTCAACCGGATACAACTAGTGTCACCCCATAAAAGGAAACCTTGATTGGAGAACTATCTGGACCAGATATCTTTGGGGGGATTTTCTTGATGGTGATTTCCACAGGACAGCAGCGCCCCCTGTGGGCAGCACCATCCCTAGGCAGGTGGGCCTGGGCTGTATGAAAGGGAGCTGAGTGAACCAGAAAGAACATCTTCTCTGGCCCCTGGTGTGTCTGTCCATCCTCCTCCCTCCAGCTACTCTATCTCCATCACTGTCTTCTGATCCAGGTAAAGGGTTGGTGAGCAGGCCTCTGTGACTGTCCCGCTTAGTGCCTTTCCCAGGGGGTTCATCCGCTTTTCCATCACTAAACAAAACCCCGAGATGATCAACGGATACGGAGGGAGGTTTGCTTTGACTTGTGGTGTCAGCAATTTCATCCATGATTGATTGACTCTGTTCTTTTGAGGTCTATGGCAAGGCCCCATGCTGTGGGAGAAGCAAGACAGGGAAGCAAAATAGACAAAAAAAGCTGAACTCTGGTGAGTATTTTTCAGGACTGGAATCCATCCAGTGACCTATAACCTCACTGGGTTCCACCTTATAAAGGTTCCCCTACTTCCCCAAAAGGCCAACTGAGGAACAAGCCTTTAATATTTATGGAACACCCACCCCACATTTTATGTGGGTCTGGGGATCTGAACTCTCGTCTGCACTTTGGCGTGGCAAGTGTATTGTCTACTGAGTCATCGCCCCAGCCCCACTGCTTGGCTTTGTTTTTTCTGAAACACTCGCATTTTCAACTTAAAAACTTGCTAATAAGAAAAGAGACTCTTAAAGAAAGAAATGCCCATTGACTTAAAATCTCCACGCTCAGCTGATGGCTGATAATGTTTTGATTCTGCTAATCTTTCCCAACGATTGAGTGTTTTTTTTTTTTTTAATTTGTTTTGGATTACACATAGTTATAGATAGCTTAAGCAGCTTCAGTTCAACTGTTTGGTTCAGGTAATTTCGACAAGCCTCCAGATTCAAGCACTAAGTCAGATCAACACTGCTTTTTCCCTGAGGCCAAGTCTCCAGAAAAGGAGGGAGGCGACAGCTGTCATGTAGCCATTTTTAACAAGGTGAAGAGGGCTTGCGAACACCGTGTGATGGAGACGATGCCGACAGGAAGTGGCTGCCTGCCTTGGCTGCTGTCTGATGCAGACAAAAGGAGCCCGAGAGTTGGGTAACTTACACAGTAATGCCCTGGGGGCCTGCTGATCTCCGGTTGCCTGATGTCACACATAGCGAGAAGGCTGGCAGTGGGAAGGTAGGGGTGGCCTCTGTCCCGTGATGGTCAGCAGAGGGCCCTGTTAGCTGGCTCCTGGCCAAGGTTTCCCAACCAGTGCTTGAGCTAGAGAAAACCCTAGAATACCAACCTTCACAGCCCCACCCTCACCCCCAGTTTGCCTATTTGCTTAAATCAGTGAGGAAAGCATTTTTAAATTGTCCGTTTTAAGCCTGAAAATGCAAGTCAGACTTACTTCTGTAACAAAAGGATGGTTAGCATTCAAAATCCAAATATTTTTTCTTTCATTAAAAGATGGGGCTGGAGAGATGGTTGCCTGCTCTTCCAAAGGACCCGAGTTCGATTCCCAGCAACCACATGGTGGCTCACAACCATCTGTAAAAGAGGTCTGGCACCCTCTTCTGGCCTTCAGGCATACACACAGACAGAAAATTGTATACATAATAAATAAATATTTTTTAAAAAAATTAAAAAAATGTTTATGTGCATGGTTCTGTGGCAGCTGGGGTCTGTGTTCAGGTCTAGTGGTCCATGTTGACACCAAGGGCCACGTGGAAGTCTGGGGTCTGGACCACAACCTGCAGCCTTGTTGGAGTCTCTATGCCCTGCTGCAGCCGGGACCATGCAGATTTGGGTAGCTTGGGCTACTGCCCAGGGCCATGTGTGGGTCTGTGGGGCTACAACGGTTGGGATTTGGGTTGGTGTCCATGATTCCTGTTGCTGCCAAGGGTTTTGAGGGTGCCCGGGTTCTGGTCAGCCACCTGAGACCAGGCTGGGGGCCATGCTGCAGCTGGCCCATGCATATCTGAGAGGACTGTGCTACTACCTGGTGCCATGGTGACCTCCTGGCCAGAGCTGCTGCTGAGGGCCATGTCTGTGTCTGTGGCCCTACCGCAACCAGGGTCTGTTTTGATGTCAGAGGCTCTTGTTACGATCAAAAGTCATGCAGATGTCGGCGGTCTGGGGTGCTATCTGTGGCCACGTGACGTTCAAGGACCACACTGCTGCTGGGGCCTTGCTGATCTGGGTGGCCTGCACTGCCACCCGGGACAATGGTGACATTCAGATCTGTCTGCTGCTGAGGACCATGTCGGAACGTGTGATCCTACTGGAGCCGGAGTTGCCTGTGTTGCCACCAAAGGTCATAAGGAGGTCTGGGTTGAAAACTGTGGCTTTGTTGGTGTATAAGGACCTTGCTGCAGCCAGGGCCATCCCACTCTGAGTGACCTGTGCTTCTACCTGGAGCCAGGATGTTGTCCAGGCCGAGTTTCTGCCAAGATCCTTGTCTGGGTCTGTGGTCCTTCTGTGGCCAGGGTCTGTGTTGATGTCTGTGTTACTACAGGGGGCCATAGGAACCATGTGTGATGAAAACAGAGGGCTATGCTCAGGCTCCCCCACCCTTTACTGGCCCTAGGAGGACTGTCTCAGACCCTCACTGGACACTGACGTGAAAGAGCCCTTCCCCAGCCCTCCATCCCCCCCAACCTACACACACACACACACACACACACACACACACACACACACGCACTGTGTTCAGGGAAGATGGTCCCACCCCTCACCATGGGTAAGAGAGAACTGACCCTGATGGCATGGGCGGAGAAGAGCTAGTTAGTAATACGCCTAAGCTATCTGGGTTAATTTAAGTTGTAAGAGCTAGTTAGTAATATGCCTAAGCTATCTGGGTTAATTTAAGTTGGAAGAGCTAGTTAGTAATACACCTAAGCTATCTGGGTTAATTTAAGTTGTAAGAGCTAGTTAGTAATACACCTAAGCTATCTGGGTTAAATTAAGTTGTAAGAGCTAG